TTTTATATGGTAAATTAAATTTATAAATCTATAGTTTCTAGATAAATAAATAATGCGTCAAAGGAAGGGGGTCATGTTTTTTTCATTTGTTTAAACCAAGTATCCTATGCAATACATTTGTCTTTTTTCTCCCCATACATCTCTCTATACCGAAACGATTAAGAGTGTGTTTAGGAATGATGGTAGAATTAGTGATTTTGAAAAAAGAGATTTAAATATAATTAATTTTCCAAAATCATCATTCAAGTAATACCTTAAAAATCAATTTAAAGTGATTTTAAGTTTTCCTAAAATCAATTTCTTAATTTGTCAAACATGATCAATRGAAAGGGAAGTGATTTTGACATGGCAAAAGTGATTTTGGTCATGTCAAAATCACTCCCAAACACATCCTAAAATTAAAGTTTGGTTAAAAAAATCGAGTTTGCAAGAGACATGTATGAGTGTTGGCCAAAGAGACTTCGACGGTCAAACTTTGRTGATTTGAACCTGGACATCATAAGGAAGTAGAACTTAGAATGCAAGAGATTGGGCGACAATATTAGGCTTAATAGGCTTACATTCAGCTGTGTTTCTGTAACAAAAGTCGATCAAGGGATGTTTGACTGGAGCAGAGCTTAATTGGGTGTTGGTTGACAAGGAAAGAYCTACACAAGGGAAACAAACACTTTGATGCTCAACTCAGTTCAAATTCGATTTTAGTATGAATATCGAGCTAGCATGCAATACCTRACTAAAGAGTGAAGTGTCCTATTTATAGGTTGGAGTATCCGACTGACGGTTGGGCATGTCATTGACACAATGACAATATAAGGATTCAAACATAGYATCTCGTACAGTCGTGCTCTAGTACCATCTTAAATATGAATCACTGATGAGCCCAAAAACTTAAACTAATGAGATAAGGTAAATTTAATCAAATATAGATATCTCAATAAATAATATATTGCCTTAACCAATAGAATTATGTTCAACTTGGCAACCGTCACATGAATGTTTAAATATCTGAAACGTCCATAATTTCAAATCAGTCCTCACACGTTTATCATTTTGTACATTGTTTTTCCTTTGACTTTCTTTATCTGAAATTGACACATATTAAATCTTAAATTGTTGTAGTGTTAAAAGTGGTTTCAAGAATATGAGCTAGATATTACAACCTTTTGTCCAATGGATTCTAAGAAAGCAAGGTGAGGTTCGTAGAATTATTAGCTTTGTATATGACTTTCTCGTCTTTAGGTATACTTTCTCTTTTGTCTCTTTGTGCGTTAAAGTCATTGAAAAATGGCTCTATATATCAGAATATTAATTTTTTTCGTCGACATTTTTGTATACCCATGAATTTTATATTAATGAGAGATGAATCGCCACACCATGTAGAAAATATTAAAAGATATAAAACTATGTCACTAATATGAACATAATATTAGTTATAATAATTTTTTATTTATTTAAAAATGGTAAAATGTTTGTTAGATGTGAAATATTTTCTTTCTTATGGTCTTTCAGATTATGACTCAAATGAGCATCCAATGTGAAGCTTAAGGACAAGATTTGTCATACATGTGGGTTTTAGAAGATGTCAATAAATGAGAAGAAAAACTTATTTAAATAAAAAATGAATAAATAAAATTAAAGAAAAAATGTAGCAAATTCTAAAATAACCTAAGTCAGCTGCTTGTATTTTACTTATAAAATTATTTCCAAAACCAAAATTTGAAAGTATTATTTATCATTTTCTACATTGATGCTTGTTTTTACATGATATGATAAAAGCAAGATATTTGAAGTTATACATTTGGGACTTGTTTGAACATCCATATACAATTTCTTTTTTATTTTTAATTTTTTTTACTAGTAATCTCATTGTTTTGTACTTTCTGAAAAATGTTCAGAAAATCTTACCAAAATTTAAAATTAGGGTTTGTGTTATAATTATTTTACTTTTAATTTTCTAATTTTAAAAAATAAAGAAAAATTAACTTGGATCGTGGTGTACAATTTTTACCATAAATTTTCAATTTCTTCGTATTGAACCCTAACATTAGTAAATGTTATTTTTACCTTAGGCTTAAGTTCCATTAAATTGTAAAAATTTTTCAAGCTCACTAATTTTAATGAAAATCAAGCAGCTAATTGCATTTGACCCTGAAATAAATCTCACAACACTATCAAAGATGCATAGCTGAACTGGTCAAGATATTACTTACTCCCCTAAAAGTTGGAGATTGGAAGATCTCCACCGTTATCGAACTAAAAAAAAAAAAACCCAAAAACCTCACAAATTTCAGCAAAAGTTTGGTAGTTTTTGGTATAAGGTAACCGTTTCTTTTTTTCCCCTCTAAAATTTTATATGTAAATTATAATTTTAAATTAAATGTTCAAGTTTTATTGTTATTNCAAAAAATTAGATTTTGTTTGTTTCCAAAATTTCAATACAATTTTGGTAACGTTTATAAAAATATGAGAAACAAGAAACTTAAACAATTACCAAATATTTAGGTATCTCAATAGAACTAAAAACGAGAAAAAGAAACGAGAATATTGTCAAACGGACCTCAAATTTTTTGTTACCATTCCAAAACATGAATAAAAAAAATATTTTGTTATTCTTGACTTATAAAATGGATAGTAAATATTACAAAATAAATATAATATAAAAGCTTTGAATATTAATTTAAAAACTTAATTTTAATTTAAAATTTCATTTTCTAATCAAAAAATTTAGAGAACAAGAAGAAATAGATAATTATCAAACATGTTACTATTTTTATTTTTGATAAAAAAAAAATAAATAACAAATAACAAGAAACGAAAAACAGAATAAAGAAAGAAGTAATAACAACGTTGACAAACAACCCTCTATTATTTTACAAATATTAATCCAGCATTAAAAATATATAGAATAGTAGTAAAAAGAGGAAAAAAAAAGAAAACTTTTTTCACTAGATGCAGACAAGTCTAACGGAAAAATAGCTACTGGTTTACAACTTTTGTACTAAACTTTTGTGTATAAACAGAGAAGAACATGGGTGGGGGCAGGCCTGTCCTCCTCAAACCTGCAATTTGCAAACTTCCAAACAACATTGGCTCCCAAGTTCTTATCATTTTTCTTGACGAGCAGCGAGAGCGGCACTCATTTGAACCTGCAATCTTTAAGAAAAATTATTACTGTCGATTGTTTTTTATTAGTCGAGCGAGCTGTGTTCAAATCGATAACTTGAGTTTGAGCCATTATTTTGATCGAGATCGACAACTATGTTTGAATTTCGTTTTGAAGTTTGCAATGACCTATAGCTTACCAGAGATGTTATTAACGTTTTCACCTATTTTTGGATTTGTGTCACCGTATAAAAGAGGATATTAATATCTAAACTAGTTCTCATATCGGTAACTGAAATTTGAATCTACAATTGTATAAGAGAGAATAGTTGAGTTATACTATTACTATTTATATAAAAGATGTGTTTGGGTCTATAAAATTTTATTAAACAAGATGCTAAATGTGTCTAAACTAATAGTTGAATGGTGTTTATATCAATAATTGAATTTGAATATCTACGATTGTATAACCAATTAAACTATATCTGGATCGGACAACTTTCATACTCCACGTTAAGTGACAAATTTATGTCTTTTTTTCCTAATTTTATTTTTTTAGTCTATTTGTTTTTTTACCATTAATTTAGTAAAACTATAATACAATTCATATAATTTATTTGTCCAAAAGCATGTATAAATTAAAAACAAGATATCTCAATCTCACTCCACTGGCCGGCTAATAGCAATAGTTTGTTCTTTTTGCACCTCATGGAAGAACTAAATTTATTATAAATTGGTTTGATAATGATTTTGTTTTTCTTTTTCTTTTAAGAAAATTGTAACATTATCTACTAACAATTTTCTTTTACTTTTATTTTTATATCCAAATCCCAATTAACTTTTTAGTACTACAAATAAGTGTTACTTTTTTTTTTATTTTTTATTATCAAATAAAGATTATAGGTATAAATATATTTTACAAATGATGACCGACTATATTGTGTAATTTCTTTGTAAAGATATATATTTTTTGAGATACAAAGTTGGTTTACTTCGAGACACTGAAATTTTTTGCGTATTCGAATTATGATTTTAGGTACTCGAATGCTTCACTTGTTAAAGAAAAACGCTAGAATGCCATGCAAAACAACTAATGATTGACTATTTGGGAAATGAGTCCTTAGAATCCAAAACAATTTTACGTCGTTAAATTATTCTAAACTAGTCTTGTCTCTCACGTAATGATGTTTTTTTTCCTTTTCAATTTCTATGATGTAGTAATAAAAATACTAAAGAATATGTATTTTTGATATTTTAAGCTTTATTTGACTATTTCATTACTTTGTTATCGTGGCTCATTATCTAGGTCAATAGTCGATTATATAAATCATTAATTATGGCATAAAATAAGAGACATATTGATTGTCACTATCAAATCATTCGGTGGTTAAACGACTTTTTTTAGTATTAGATTTATAATTAATTTGATAATAATACATATTTACAAAATATTTAAACAAATGAAAGCTATTGGTTCAAAGATGAATTTTGTATAATTTAGAGGGACAAAGTTGTTTTGATTTTATCTCAACATTTCAAAATTTTCAATTCAGAAAATGCTCACATAAAATTGAAGCTTTCAAAACATTATATAGATTAAAGTATTTAAAATAATTTTTCTTCAAAGTAAATATTTTAAACAATTAAGCCCATACAACATGGATACATGTTACACATTTGTTCTGTTCGAAAAAATCAAACCTTTTTTTTTTTTTAAAGAGTTGGATAAAGATTGATTTTAATTTCTTGGATTGAAMAAACTGATTAGAGAAATATGAAATTATTTTGATATTTTAATATACTAATTTATATTATAGAATTAATTTTTATTCTGTTTTCCAACTGTATCCTCTTTGTTTTCTTCTCCCTCATTTTCTATTGGTTCATACACCCTCAGATTCTCTCTCTCCTCTCTCTCTTTCTCTCTCCTCTCAATTTCTTACAATTTTCCATGTCTGTGTACTCTCTCTCAATCTCAAGCTCTTGTAAAGATAAAACCCATCTGCAGAATCACTGACCCAAACACATTTGTGATTGTGGGTGTAATCGCCGGCAGTTTGGTCGGAAAATGGCCGGTATTGTCGCCGGCGAGAGCGACAGTTCGCCGCCGGCGCTTGCTCTACTGGGGTTTGTTCGCGATGTCGTTCGAATGTCAGCGGGGATGAACAGTGGTGGAGAGGTTTTCAAGAGGGATTGCACCGATCTGGTGCGTCGGATTGTGCTTCTGACACATTTGTTTGAGGAGATCAGAGATTTTAAGGGCCTCGAATTTGATGCTTCCACTTCTTCTTCTTCTTCTTCGTCTTCTGCTGCTGTTACTGCGAGGGATTCGTCTCCGTTTCCATGGCTGTCTGATTTAGTGGCGGCATTGAAGGATGCTAAGCGCCTCATTTTCATCGCTTCGACTTTCCGTTCCTGCAGTTCTTCTGTAAGCCAAACGCTATGCCTTTTTTCTTATGGTTTTTTTTTTGTTCAAATTGGGAGAGGGGAAAGGGAATTTAGAAGCTCGAGAAATTAGAAGAGATGCCTCTACTTGATTTTTGATTTTCCATCGCCTGCATTTGTCTGAAATTCACTTCACTTTCTTCTGATTTGGAAGTTTGATTGAGCGCACGCATTTACTTTTCTGAATCTCTCGATTCTTTTAGTTTTACCTAGTTATTCAGCTCGGGATTTATTCTTTGGATTGAATGAACGGCCTCCTGTTCCTCACGATCTGTGCCTTTACTGATTTTCATTTACTAGTGTTGTATGTTTACCCTGATGATTTTGATGATATTGCTTTTATTGTTCAAGCTACGGAAAGGAGAAAAAGGACCGACGCACATAGTTCATAATTTCATTGATTTTTACGGAGTACTCAGTCATACACAGTATTCCCTCAAGAACTTTATTTGTCAAGATATGCAATTTTCTGCATCTTTGAATACCCAATTGCTCAAATTACGCTCAGGTGGACAATTGTGATGAACTTTGACTCTGAATGTTGGAGTACTAAGCCCTTTGGGGCAGCACAGTTGGCAAAGGCTTGGAGTCTCTAGGTCATACCGATTAAGAGGTCTCAAGTTCGAGCCTTCTGGTGAGCTTAGTACCAAGAACCCTTGATATCTCTTAGATCTGGGTCTTGGGACGGACTCCCATTTATCAAAAACATGGGAGTTTAGTTGCATAACCATTTCGATCTTACTCGCCATTTCAAACTTTGAGACGTTTATGAACGATACTGAAGTGTTTGTTTGGGCAATTTTCTTCTTTTTGACATTTGTACATAATGGGATGGTGTTAATATACCTAAAACTGTACCTCTCTGAAACTCTCTACGTTTTAACTTTAAAGGAAGAAGTTGCCAAGAAGATACTCTTCCAGTTCCAATGTGTGACATGGAAGTTAGAGAAGGCGCTGGGAAATCTTCCATATGATTGCTTTGATATATCAGAGGAAGTTCAAGAGCAGGTAGGATTTAAGGAAAACCGCAGTTTGCCTTTTCTAAATTCTGAGCATACTCTAAATCTTTTATTAATTCTTTAGGTTGAATTAGTGAGAGCTCAGCTGAGAAGGGCAGCAGAAAAATATGGATCTCTGACTGCAATTCCGCTGTCGGTCGTTCAATCTCAGTTGCTGAAGAAAAACATGGATCTGTTGAATCTGAACAACTGGGCTGAAACTTTTGATGTTGAAGAGGGTGGCATTGTAGATCACGAGATTACAGTGAAATTTGATGCTTTTCAAAATTGTAGAGGCTTGATGAATAATGGAGTGGATCAGCTGAGTTTCAAAGGACTTGACAAACTTCCATCCTCTTCTGATGGGCAGGATGACTCTGCCAAAAAGAGTGGAGACCAGGTTAAGAGCCCAGATGGAGTTTCAATACCTGATGATTTTTTATGCCCCATATCCTTGGAAATAATGAGGGATCCTGTTATTGTGTCCACAGGCCAGGTATTCTTAGTTGAAAATTGAAATCCATGAATTACCCAATGTTTCTTTTGATGAGTTTGAGCTTAGAGTTTCAAAAACTTGAATTCTTTTATGCCTTTTCTTAATAGTTCTTTCTCTTACAACACAGACGTATGAGAGATCTTATGTACAGAGGTGGATAGATTGTGGGAATACTACTTGTCCCAAAACTCAGCAGAAACTCCAAAATTTGACTCTCACCCCAAATTATGTGTTGCGGAGTCTTATTAGCCAGTGGTGTGTGAAGCACAATATTGAACAACCAACAGGATTAACAAATGGGAAGATCAAAAAGTGCGATGGATCGTACCGTGATGTTTGTGAGGAGATGGCAGCGATCGAATCTATTGTCCGCAAGCTAACTAGCCATTCGATCGAGGAGCGGAGAGCTTCGGTGACTGAACTTCGATCTCTATCTAAAAGAAGCACAGATAATAGAATACTGATCGCTGAAGCAGGAGCGATTCCTGCATTGGTCAATCTGTTAACTGCTGATGATGTTTTAATACAAGAAAATGCAGTTACTTCGATTCTGAACCTTTCAATATATGAGAATAACAAGGGACTGATTATGCTTGCTGGTGCAGTACCTTCCATTGTTCAAGTTCTGAGAGTTGGAAGCATGGAAGCCAGAGAAAATGCAGCAGCAACACTTTTCAGCTTGTCTCTTGCTGATGAAAACAGGATCATTATTGGTGCTTCCGGGGCGATTACGGCTCTGGTGGACTTACTTGAAAACGGAAGCTCACGAGGGAAGAAGGACGCTGCAACGGCACTATTCAATTTGTGTATTTATCAGGGGAACAAGGGGAGGGCTGTGAGGGCAGGGATCGTTCCAGCCCTGTTAAAGATGCTTACGGACTCGATCAATTCGATGGTCGATGAAGCTCTTACTATAATGTCGGTTCTCGCCAGCCATCAAGAAGCAAAGGTAGCCATGGTGAAGGCCAGTAGCATCCCTGTCTTAATAGACCTGCTGAGGACTGGATTGCCTCGCAACAAAGAAAATGCTGCTGCCATTTTGCTTGCGTTGTGTAAGCGAGATACCGACAATCTTTCTTGCATAAGCAGGCTCGGCGCCGTGATTCCTTTGACAGAGCTTGCAAAGAGCGGCACGGAGAGGGCGAAAAGGAAGGCTACTTCACTGTTGGAGCATCTAAGGAAGCTACAGCAGGTATAAAACAAAGGCATTTTCCATAGTTTTCTTTTCTTACCACTTTGAGTTCCCATTACTTTTGACAGTTAATTTTCAGCTGGGTGATCTCTTTGGTTGTGATAACAAAGAATTAGGGATGCATGGCTAATGAAGGCCACTCTCCTTGAATCTGTGTACTTGATTCCTTCATTATATTGTACAAGTGTGTATAAATTCATTCACTGACTCTCTTAACAAAATTTCTGTTATAACCAAGAAGAAGGTACTGTTTGGGAACAGTGTTGAACTCTCTCTCTCTCTCTCTCTCTTCTGTTCCTTTTTGTAAGACCATCTTCTCAGTTTCTTGGCCCGGTTGGGAAGTTTACTGAAGGAAAGCCTTTGTCTGTAATACGGATGTAGAATAATATCCTTTATTCCCATGGACAACGGTTTTCTTTACCCTCTCAGTTTCTCTTCTATTACAATCAATTGTATTCTTTTTTTTTATAACATGTGGGATGAGGGATCGAACTCACAATCTATTTATTAGATATATATGTCAATTGTCGCTGATCTAAGTTCGTTTTGGCATCAACTGTATTCCTTTGAATGTAATTATTTACGTTATTTTATTAAAATCAACATTAAAACTAGTTAAAACTACATTAAATTTTTACTAATAATATACTCCATTAATTATTATTCTATTTTAATAAATTTAATTTATTAAAGTATATACTTTACTTTTTTTTAATAAAATTTTAATAAATGGACGTATTTAAAGGGATGAAAATGGTTAATTTTTTTAAAAACACATTTATTTTAGGATAATTATTAAGATTGTTGCTAAATAAAATCAACATAAATTTAGATATATTATTTATTTACTAATAAGTGAAACTTAAATTAAAACATAATTGTTTAAAATGATTTTAATATTTTAACTAAATAGAAATAAAACTAGTGTAAATTAATTATTGAATAATATTTTTATTAATTTTAAAACTTTATACATAGTTATTTGCTAAACATATAGCTATTGAATTTTAGTTGAATAATATCTACTATTAATTGTTCAATTGATCCTTGTGTTAAATTGTCAATTTAAAATTTAAAATGCTAATATAAAATAATTAATAACTTAAAATAATTTAATTTATTTTGTTTATTTTTTAATTAAATTTAATCAGTTATTAATCAAAGTTCTAGAGTAATTACAAAATAAATAAATAAATAAATAAATAAATAAATAAATAAATATATATATATATATATATATATATCATTTATTATCAAACATCTTAATCTCAGACATCTTAATCCCAGACATATATACAACCCAATGGTTATATTTAATTCTCAAGTATCTTGATCCCACACTACTTTTTGAAACCTTCAACCAAATGGAAAAAGAAATGAGATATTGATTCTCATTCCTTGATGCTCATTTCTTTGAAGTAAATACGGTGTTAGTCTTACCTCTATCCGCTAACATTAGGGTTATTTTAGTCCTTGCGCTTTTCGATTTTAGGCTATATAAAGCCCAAGTCATTCCATGGTAATCCTCACCTTTTAAGATATTTGAGTATATTTTCTCCCATTGATTCTAAAGTAGATTAGGTGAACTTGTAGTATTCAAACTAGAATTGTAAGTTGAGATGATGCTCAACAAATTAACCTCGCGACATATGTTGACGTAACATTAATTTCGTCGGTAATTTCTATGTCCTATCATCAAAAATAAATTTTCTTACAATGAAGATAAAAGCATCTTATATTATAATTTGATGAAAATAGACATATCCACTCGTGAAATCGAAAATCTATCCAACTCATATGACTTGACGAATAGTAACTCACTAGATCCGAAACGTCTTGTTATAGAATATGAGCCTATTAGTAAAATATGATTATGTTAACAATTGACTTCCTCCATAAAATACAACATTCTTTAATTCACACTTCATTCTTCTTTTAATGGTTAGAGAAAGTAAGAATTTTGTTTGTTATAAAATACATAAAAATGAAATTGAAACTTTTGAAAAATTAGAAATATAATTACAATAAAAAATGTCACAAAATATTAAAGACCAAAATTTATATTCAACTGAAACTTTATTGTCATACTATTAGAGATTACGTATGTGAAGGTGATTATAAGGTTATAGTGGATATATATAAGGAAGTAGAGTAAGTCTGTTTATATATATTCTACAAAAACTTGTTCAAGATTCAAATGTTTCAAGTGAAGTGAAGGACGTAACGTAGTACTCTTCGTAAACCGTCACTATATCACTTCAATTTTATTCACGAATCTTGTTGTTCTCCTAGATTATGATGCCACTGCAATTTGAGTCCCTACTTCCCTTGTCGCCATGAAACTTACGCGCCGTTTCTGCAATTTCAACCCATTTATTTTTAATAATTTTATATAATACATAGATACATACATATAATTCTCTCTTCTTCTTCATTTTTTTTTTCTAAGTTTTTAACCATCTTCTAACTTTTGTATCATTAAAAAGATGACAATAAAAGAACTTAAACGAAAGTGAGAAATTTTTTTTAATCCATATGTTTAGCTAAGTAAAGCCAACTAACTTAAAGAAGTTAATATCCTCCTTATAAAATTATATAAAAAAGGATATTAATTTAGTTGATTGATAGTTTTGATTTTTAAAAAATATCTTAATTATGATATGAAAGAAAAAGGTTGTATCAATTACATGAGGGTAGAAAATTCTATGAAAAAGTTAGATATACAATGATGGCTACACTTAGATAGGATTATAATGGGTTTGGCAGATAATTACTAATCATCAAACAAAAATTGACCCATTATAGGATGAGAGTTAACTTAGTCGATATTAAATTTTCATCGACATGTCCACCTATTCATCTATATTTTGGTGTGTATATATATAAGTTCGAGATTGATATACAAGAAGCGCATCGACATTTCTATAGTATCGCAAAAATTCAACAAAATACTAATAAAATATCACCAATATAGAAATAATATTAATAATTGAAAATTTTAATGCATTTAAAGAAGGTAAAAGGACAGTTTGTTAATTTAAATATTTTGTTTTATACAGATTTGATTTAAGGAAACTATATTATTTAATTTTGAAAAATAATAATTACACGAAAATAACATATGGGTAGAAAATTCTATGAAAGAGATAGAAACTTAATCAAGATGGTTATGGTAAGATAAGATTGTAATTAATGGGTTTGGAAGATAAAGCACTAATCAAACAAAAATGGACTTGATTGGATGGTGAGAGTCAACTAGTAAAAGAAATCATAACTAAAGCTAAGAGTGATAGATTTGAAATCTTCAAATCATGAAAATCAAGAAATGTGTGAGAATGATTCTCAACTATCCTAATCTTTTAATAAAGTAAAAGATATTTAGAAATTAATGGAGAGCTAGTCCGATTTTTTTAATGAAAAATATATGTTTCGATAAGTTAGGTTCAAGTTGACAAAAGATTACTTCTAAACAGTCGTCTGATTCTACAATATTTAGTGTTGGAAAACACGAAGAAATTAATTCATAAGGTAGGTGACCATCATGAAGTTTAAAYTTATTCTCTCTCAATTAATTTCAATCTATTTGGACCAATGAACTACCTATAATAGTTTGTATACGTTCGAATTTTGACTCGATATTTGTGTGATAATATTCCAAGAGAAAAAGTGAGAGTATAAAAATCTTGAAGTGGTAGAAAGAAAGATATGGTAAGATGGAGATTGATGTGGGTTTGGAAAAAATCACTAATCAAACAAAAATTGACTCATTGGATAATGAGTGAGTCAATTTGGGTGTCCTCTTTTTTAATTATACCCTTCATTTAATTAATTGATAGTTGCCATCAACTTTCCCTCTTTTTTAGAAGTTCACATCAATAAAGAAAAATCCCAATTAAATATTAATTACACTAATCTATAAATCAATATTATTAGATATTGGACAACGACTGATTAAAGTATAGTCGATCTTTTGGTTCAAATTTGATCCTACATACGGTTAAACTCATTTTTTTGGAAATATAATTGACTCGTTTCACCGTATTTACATGATAAGATTCTTTTTAAGGTTAAAAGTACATTTAAAGTCTTTGTATTTAAACTCTAGCAACATTTTATCCTTAAATATCTTTCTTTTGTTTGGATTTTAATCATTGAATTTTAAAAACAACTTAGAACTAAGAGATTTTTGCTTTTCATTTTGTTTTTTTCTTTTTGTAATTGAGGTGTATGTATAAACAATTGATCAAATTTTAATGAAGATTATTAACTAAAGACTTAATAGTTATATTTTTTAAAGGCATCCTCAACGATAATGAGGAGGACATCGTTAAATGCTTGATAATTCCTTATTATTTAAAAAATTTTATGTTTTTACATTTTTTTTCTTAATTATCCTCAAACATTTAACAGTGAGAAGAACAAGATTCATCTTCATAGTTGAGGAGACAAATATTTTCCTTTTTTAAAATACAAAAATTAAATTGTTACCTATTAAAAAATACATSAATAGTGCCTTGCTAATCTATTTTTATAAATTTAGATCTTATTTTAATTTCAAAAACTTATTCTCTAAATTTTCTAATATTTTATTTTAGGGAGGTAAAAAATTAAAATTTTAAATATAAAAGGTGTGATTTAAGAAATTAATATATTAAAGAGGTAAAAATAAAACGCATGCGCACCTCACGTGGCTTGATATCCTCAGGCTTCTCCTTGTAGTTGTGAGAATTTTGAGGAACAGAGGTTTGTTGTCTGTTTTTATCCATGTAGAATCCAACAATCTTCTCCGCTGCCTCTGCCTCATCTCTGCTCTCCTTCAACAGCCTCTCCACCTCCGCCCTCGGCAGCCGAACCTTCACCTGTGTCGACCCCGACCCCGACACCGCTCCCTCTCCCTCCCCGCCACCGCTCTCCTCCAGCAACACGCTCTTCGGTTTCATGATATACAGGTCCGACGCCGACCGCCGCGCTAACATCAAGCTCTCAAGCCTGTCCTTGGCACTCATGTTAATCGCGGACCGAACCCGCCGTGGAACCTATCGATGAAACGTTAAATTTACCGTAACTTGTGAACTTAAGGTTTTTGAGTGAGAAGTAACAATAGCAGTACAAGCTATCCTATTTGAACTCGTGTCATGTCATTTTCTATTCAACGATAAAACAATATTTTTCAAGAAACTAAACAGAAACTAGATTTTGCATGAATATGTTATCAATGTTATCAAACTATCTGTAATAGTTTAAGCTCTTGAGTGAAGTGATATAGTTATTTAACAACCTGTTCTTTTGGAACCTTGGGCAGCTCGACGAGGAAATAGAGCCTCTTCGGACTGAGCTTTTGGTGGTCCTCCAATGGCTTTGCTCGAACACCGTAGTGCTTCACGACCTCGGACTCGAGCAGAACAAAGCCGGGATAGTCTTTGACGACGTCTCCAGCCTGAACCGGGGACTTGAGCTTCATCGTCTCGCCGGTGATCTTCATGACCTTCACCGTCCTCTTGGCTCCAAAGGTGTTTCCCATGGCGGCCAAATGAAGAGAAATGGAGAAGGAGACAGGAAGAAGGAGAAGAATATATTGAGGTGGGTGGGTGTGAGAGGGAATTATTGAAATCTGAGGGTCTTATATGCAAGATTGTATGCTTGGTGGTTAAAAGTTTTTTTTTTGGTCAAACAAAGAAGGCAAAGTGTTGAAAATATTTATTAAAAAAGAAAAAAGAAAACTAAAATATCATGTGTTTTTTTTGACAATGTGGAAAACTACGTAAGCTGTCCTTTTCAACTAGGAATTGGGCTTTAAAAGTTTCCCCCCACATTTTTTTTTCCTAATCTCACTCAATCCATATAATTTGTTTGCCTTTTACTCACTTTTGGGTTTTTGTTTTCAAACTATAAAATTTATGGTTTTTTTTTTCATTTCTCCAAACGTGTAACTTATGTTGTGTGGATCTTTATGTTGTGTGGATCTTTATAATCGAGGCTCATTGTCTGGATTGAGCAACACATAAATTTCACGGTAGGTGTGTGCTAACTAAAGCCATACTTAAACAGACTCATTTTGGGAAATGAGTTTGGATTATTGTTTAAACCYATTAATTTGTCGAATAAATTAAACTCCAAGCTCGACAAACCTGCCCACCAAACATAGATTCAACATTATCTATTTGTCTTCTAAATTGTATCATTTACTCCATCAATCTAACCTTTACACGACACATTTTATCACGCCAATTACGATTGATTATGTCTCACAATGTGACAATTGAAACACTTTTTCATGTTTTAACACCATTCTGAAAACCCATTTCTTGGACATCACAATCAAAATCAAAATCAAAAATAAAAAACAAGATTTAAAATTGATGTTTGGGTCTGAATTTTCCAAGATCTTGAAATTTCAAACCAAACTTCTTTCGTTTTGTCCAGAGGAAGATAGAAGAGAAGCTCCAAGGAAATCCCGTGATGTATGGGCGTAGGAGTTTAATTTCATTTTATTATAATATATATTATAAATTGATTATTTAATTATTTATTTATTATGGAAATGTTTTATTATAAATTTATTTATTTATAGGGACGTTTTTGTTTAATCAAAAAATGGGATTGGTGAAGGCGTTAATTACGGGCATAGATCCAAGCATTGGTTTTTTTTTTTTTGGTTGAAATTCTTCATATCCTAACTTTTGACTTCTTTTCCACATCTCACACCGGTTTGACSTAACACGAGCATAGTTCAGATTTGATAGATATATAGAATTTAGAAAGGTGAAAGTGGGGATAAACTTCTGTTTGTTTTATTCTTAGAAAAAGTTCATATTTTTGTCGGTTTTAGTTGTTCTTCCTCGTTCCTTGCTTAATTGATACGTTAATATGGATGGTAGATTTTAATATTCATCTAAGAAAAACACATATTTGATGTTGTTTATTTATATATTTATTTTTTATTGTGTTATCTACTTTCAAAAGGAAAATAAAAACAGTTTTTAAAATTTTTTTGGATCTGCCATTTTTAATTTTTTAAGAAAAAAAACTATTATTTCTTGTTTTATCACTTTTAAGAAACATTCTTGAAATTATATACAAATTTATGGTAAAAATATATAGTTTTTTATTCGTTGTTTCATAGTTTGAGCTTTTCAAAGACAAATAAAAACCATATTATCATTTTTGACTTATTATAATACATAATAAWTATAAGAAAATTGAAAATAAGTTTTATGATTTTAAATATTTTTTGAGTAAAACATTTATTCTTTAATTTAATATTTTCATAGAAAATAAAACTAATGTTCGTTCCAAAATATATTTGTATTAAGAAACAACAAATTAGTACAAAAAATTGTCCATTAAAGTATAATTCAACTGGTCTAGATAACTATTTCTAAGTTTGAATTTCAATCTACATCCTCATTTCTTGTATTAAAAAATAATTATTATTTAAATTTTAACAAAAACATTATAAAATATTATTCATGCTTATGGTGGTTTAAGACATTATTGGAACAAACAAAACACGAGAAACTGAAAAAATGGCATTTGGTTCAAACAAAAAGGAACCATTTCCCAAGATTTTTGGTCGAATTTATGGAGTCACATTGTCAAACATTTGACCTTAAACTTCCAATTATATCCCACAATGTGTAATTCCCAAAACAATCAATTATCTATTTAGCTTGAATTTGATCCAAATATTAAACTTGCATCTGTCAATAGGTTCGATGTTGGTATAAGAGCTCCAACATATATTGATACTTAAAACTTTGTATTCAATAACTATTAAAAATAATTAACACTATAGGCATGAATCCTCGCGACTTTGCTTTTGGTTTCACCCGAAAAATTTCGTACTAATGGATATATTATTCCTTATTTATATTCTCATGATTTCCTTCTTATCTAACAAGATAGGATTTAGTCTACATTCGCAACAAATAGTATTGTAAATAAATAATATAGACCATGTATATGTTAAAAACATAGAAATTAGTTTAAAGTTTGTAACGATTTAGCTCCTATGGTGAATTTTTTTATTAAGTTTCTTATATATGTAAATCGATAATTGATGAGGAACCAAATGTGTTTATAAATTACAAACACTAATTGTTATATGATAAAAATCGACACTTAATTTTAATGAGATTTTTTAAAGTGTGAACTAAATTGTTACAATTTTTAAATCATAGGGACTAAATTGTTATATGTTAAACTTTATGGATTAAATTATTACGAATTTGAAAGGATATGGACCAAATGTGTTTTTTAACCTAAATATTGCAAATAAAGATAGGAAAATCTTCTCCTACCAAGCCTTACCGAGGCTCTTAGAATACTTTTTTAATACAACAAATATGAGGGGAAGGATTGAACATTAATAAAAATAATTTGTGTTTTATCCCGATTCCTCATTTGCAATGTAAATTAAATTAAAAAAAAATCATAAAAGGTGTTGTGTATTTATTATTTAAGATGTTTCCCACTTTCCAATTCAAAAGTTTTCTAATGGGTGCCACTTTTTAATATCATAATACAATTTTTTTTTTTTAGTTTAGAAAATTAAAAATAGGCAAAGTCCAAAACGGGTATCCGCTGATCAATTTGGAAGGTTGAGTTCTTATTTTCAGACGTTTGTTGGTGACCTTCTTCCTCTTTTCTTCATTAGGAGAATTTATTCACAGATTTAATCTTAATTTATTACCCATTTCAATTATATTTCTAGACAAGGCAATTTTGAGTTATATTTTCATATAAAACTCATTACAAATATGTTTAAATATAGCTGTTGCTTCTCCTTCTTCTTCTTCTTCTTCTTCTTTTAATGAAAATAGTATCTAATATATATAACATTGTTAAAACACATTTTAAAATCGTCTTTGCAATATCAACAGTATAAGAATATTGTCAAAACGAGTTATCTCCAACCAAGAGATTGTAAGTTCGATACCCTACCCCACCTTGTTGGGAAATTTACTGACCTAAATAATTTCTTCTTCCACAGAAAATATCCAACACAACCAAGAATATGCAAAAATGAAGAAAACAGTAAACACAAGTAAACGACACAGCAAATTATACTGGTTCACCACTAACGGCTACGTCCAGTCTTCCATTCAGATGTGGGTAATTCACTAATATTGTTTAGGATTAGATAACACTCCCCAAAATATCCCTAGATGTCTCAACAAAAGCCCCTAGCTTCTAAGTATTTTACACAATTAATACTTAGGAACAGGAATGAAAACTCACAATAACCAAGATCTAATTACCTCGAATGTGTTGATCTTGATGAGCCTCAATGCCTCTGCCAATGCCCGAGCCTCTCCCTTGAAACTGCTACTAAACCCTCTGAAAAACGGCTCAAAATCGGCTCGACAATAACCTTTTTTCTACTGGAAAACGCTAAACCCAAAACTGCATTTATATAGACATCGAAACAGCATCATAGCGCTACGGACGGAAAGTCTGTGCTGCCCCCTGATCTGGACAGCGTCGCGACGCTGCGACGCCGCGATGCTGCCTCCTCAGCCCGAGTGGCCCGCAGCATCTGCTTCTCCCCTGTTTTCATCTTACTTCGATCTCGACGCGTCTTGGCTTGATCCCGACTCTTCCCTAGCTCGTTTCAGCATTGTTTTGACTCCACCAATCCCAACAATCTCCCACTTGGAGACAAAACGACAATTCTCTGCCTCCCACTGCATCAATAGTGACCCATCAACTTCTTGACACCCTCTGTCAAGGCACAGTTCTGACTCCTCTATCAACGAACTGATCAACATTGCTCGGCCCTACCCAAGCATCGTCTGAATCTACCCCAAGACTGGGCAGCTCTACGTGGTCTTGTCCCCCAGACTTAGAGACATAGTCACGTACTCCCACTTGATCTAAGTGGTCCCCGTCGCTTCCTTTCTCAATCGAATCCAATGACTTATAAAGGAAGGTTCTCCTGATGACTTGGCGCTCCCACCCAAGTCTGTCGCCACACTAGAAACAGAACCCATACCCTTTAATGCACTAATTCGCCTATGCGACTTCACCAGCTCGCCTGAACGTCTAACAACTGAGGTATGAACTCGATGGCCTATCAAATTCCCATTTCCCTTTTCTATACTTCTCAACTGTTTTACTTGAGCTGATGACAGATTCTTCTGATCTATTCTGGGCATCAATGCTGCTGATCCTCTAAGGTCTCGTCCTCAACCATCTGCAGCTACTCTATGCATAGTCTGCTCAGTGAACCCTTAGCAACCCCAAACTCTGATACATAAACAGAAGATCTCTTGTGGCCTGTTGCCACCACCTTGGATTCCCTCCTGAGCTTCCAACAACCCCCCACTAAACTCACTGCTGTAGCCATCGTCATCTAGCTTCCCTGCGGATAACGAATTAATCTGAAGCTAAGAATATACCTGACACCTCGTAGCACCAACTCGGCCCCTTCGCCTGTCTTCAAACAAACATCTCCAATTCCTCTCACCTTGGAGATACTCACATTCCCCATCTTCACTGAACTATATTCACCTACAGTAAGAGATGAGAACCAACATTTGTCTGAAGCAACGTGCGCTGATGCTACAGTGTCTACCACCCACTGG